TACAAATTAAAAAGTGTTCATTTTTATAAAATCATTTATCGCAATGATATCGTTCATCATGCACGTATATATATTTATATATAGAAATAAATGCAAAGGGTGCATCAAAATCTACATCTTTTCTTCAACAAACATAAACAAAAATTCTTTCTAAACGGAAAATTTTGGAGGACTAGGTAATAATACAAATAAATAAAATGTTAAAATAAAATAAATCTAATTGGTAATATAAAGTAAATAAAAATATTAAAAATAATTAATATTTTTTGATAACGTACATATACATTAATTTTATTTTCATCGATTTTTGTTAATCGATTATTATTGCAAATGATGTTTTCCTTAATGATATCAACGTAAAACAAAGTATCTATATTTAGAGAACATACATTAGTATTGAACAGAGTATCGTTATTTATTGATATTGGATATACCAAATAAATAACCTTTAACTTTAAGATGCTCAATCCAATTATCACGTTATTGAAGAATTATGTATATGCAATATGATACGCAATTTGGGATAAAATAATTAAATCTTTACATTTTGCTTTCAAGTAATAACATAATCCGATAACTGTAAGACTGAAATATAATTCTCGGTATTTTTCAGTATCGCTAAAGTTGCATACGCACGATAAGAGACTGCAGGAGTCACTTTAATCCTCAAAAGTGCATCAGAGGATTTGAACTCCCGAGTGTCTTTATCTATGCGTTTTTCGACATTCAAACAATTCAGCAGCGGCCGGTATCTTGTACGGTGAAAATGTACGCGCGACTTCTGCGATACCCTGTAGGAATTATGTTTGAGACGTGGTCAGTGAGAAGTGGTAGCACAGGATCATATATACATGGTCATACCGCCGTGGTACCACGCCTTGGTGAACACAGTCAAGAGAGAGAGAGAGATAGAGAGAGAGAGAGAGAGAGAGAGAGAGAGAGAGAGAGAGAAAGGGAGAGAAAACGAAAAAGACAGAGAAAAATGTTAAGACGTCTAGACGCGTGGGACGGACCGGAGTAATCTCGACTCTCGTTGCTTTCTTATACTTGCTCGCTTACGCGTTTACACGTGTTCCTATATTCGTATATGCATAAGACGTGCATTTCGAATCACTGAAAGGCTGGATTAAGCGTCTTAATTACCAATAGTTAACCATCGTTAGAAATCGTAGTCGATCTGTCACGAAACTTCAACGTGTTTCAATTCCATCGCTGAAAATTCAATCGAAAATATGGAACTTTTTTGATCAATTGAATCCGGACTAGTCTCTTTTCATTAACAAAATTAACAATTTTGTAATTATATTTCAACGTGCGTCTGAAATTACACTGTTCCACAAAATCAATTAATCGGAACGAGACTAGTCGTTTCTTATAGTTTGTTGGATGCTGAAAAATTCTCTAGCACGTCACATATTGCAGCTACAATATAACAAAGTTCGTGAAAAAAGTCTTTAATTACAAATTCCTCAAAATTATGACGTGACAGAATAATTTAGAAACGGGATTCGGCATCCAAAAAAACTATACTCGTTCCGTGTTTGAAGAAAGTCATATTTTTTATTGAACAGTGTTATATGTATATAGAAGAGAAACATTTCTATTATTAAATTAAAATTTAACTTATTAATTTTTTATCAAACTTCAAAATGTGTTGCAATTTAGTGTAACCATATGCTACGATTATTTATTGTATTTTCACATTCTTGTTTCAGATCCCAGCATCCCACATCATCATACAATCAGGATCACCCAGGTCATCCTGCGTCCGTCTCTAACACGCCAGTAGCCACGTTCATCATCGGCCACGAACATCATCGTCGTGCGTTATCTTCTCGAACGTCCTCTTCCTCTTCTTGTACTTCCTCATTCCTCAGAGATTTTCGACCCGCCTACGGCCTCAAGATAGTCAGTCGAGCTTCCACCAGATCGAGTCGTCCAAATCTTGCGGATCTCGTCACAACGGTCAATATTGTAATCCTGTAAGTTATCTCCATTTCTTCCCTTGTCAAGTTTTTCCTCTTTCTCTCAATCTCTCTTTTTTTCTCTCTTCCGTCTCTTTGTTTCTGGCGCCCTTAACACGATCCTTCCTGCGAAGCACAGATTCTCGACCAGCTGTGTTCATTATTTTACGAGTATATAACGGGACACGTTTCTAGTTTCGTGTAAGGTCTCAGTAAAAGTAAAACAGTTGCGAGATTACACTGACAAATGCATGTGTCTTCAAGTGTGAATTATATATAGATTGTTTCGTAGCACCAACATATGTGTAGGCTCATCGTCCAGACACATAAACGCCTAAAAGATGATTTACGAATGTTTTTATCAGAGGCTAGGGTCTCTTCTGGGTTGTCATATACTAGAGTGATGCTATCGTAACATTTCTTTTAAATATTCAAGCGAATTATACTATTAACAACTTTCAAAAGCCTTGTGCTTGCATGTTTGCAATCGAACATCAACATTTTTAACACAACTATCAACGGCAACTTTCTACTATTATCTTAATTATTATCTAACTGGTGCTGTCTGCTGTTTCTATTGCAGTTCCTTCTTTCTTTCGCGTGTCCCTATTACTTCGCGAATAGAAAGAATAGAATAAACAAAATTGTAATTTTGCACGGTGAAGAAAGTTTCAGCAACCATTATTACACTATTAGAATCCGAATCAAGAAGATGATTGAAATACTATATACCTTGTAAGATATTAAACTACTAATCTTCTACCGCCCAATTATTTACTCTCTTCGGGACTTTTATCTCTCGCGGATTATTTTAAGAACGATTTATATTTTATATATCTATATAAATGAATATATTTGATATATATATATATATATATATATATACATATATATATATATATATATATATATATATACAGAATTAAATACATGAAGATACACGCGTATATGTATGTGCACACACACACACGTGCTACATATAATCGCATTATACGCTCGAATCGATACGTATTTAAGCAAACAAGGCTCAAGATTGATAAGAAAATCGCAATAAGTGCGAATGCACATCGGAGTGCAGCTCGATTATGTTATTAATGGATATTGAAATACATAATATCGATCATTGATTTGTGTGATCTACAGAAAATGTAATTCTCGATAAAAAAAAAACAGGGTATATACATATGTGAGCCGATTCTTCATGTGTCAAATATTTCTTTTTCCGATATATATCTGAAGAATCGGCGCAATTTTTCTCGAGTATTTACAATAAATTAGTGCGGTCAGTGCAATTTTAAAGTGCCGGAATATAGCAATAATAAAGCGGATATGAATATATATTTATGAATCTATGAATTCTTCTGAATTTTTCTATTGCCGATCAGTTCGAGTTCTTATCTCGTCTCTGTATAAGGAATCAAGAGTTAATTCTTTGGAGTCATTTTTCGACTTCCTTCCGTCACGCGGTTCAAAGTGCTGCTACCTCAAAGCTTCTACGCCTGAGTTTCTTCAGGCTTTTTCGTTTGATTGAATACATGTCTCTCTAACGTTCGCGGCTGGCTCGTACACAGATACATATATATATATGCGATAAAAAAATGTACGAAGTACACCTGTTATTTTGCTCAACTGCGTTATTAAATGAAAGCGTTTAAATATTATCAATTTAAATTTTGAAACGACAGAGCAAGAAACTGGAGTGACAAAGATACGTGATCGCGTTCGCGATAAATGAGGTGGTACTTTGAATTACGGAATTGCGCATCGGAAGGAACGTCGACACGATCGCGAGAGATGACAAAGCTGTAGCTAGTCATTTGCAGGCGCCGTTGTACGTCTTTTAGCGGGCTTTCATATAGCAATATTGAGACTGCTTTCTCTGTTCGTACAAATTGTTCGAAGTGGATAACAAGATTTTAATTGGCGCTCTAAGCTTTTTTTTACTCGTATAGTTTTTAACATCGAATCTTTCAGTTTTTCATTCTATTTAGCTTTTATTACATTTATCATGTTCTAGAATTTTTCTTAGTTTATCAAAGTATCGTATGTTTTCAAAGCGAACATGGATAAAAGTGTGAATGATGAAGATATAAAATGTCCTCATATAATCTAAATTATTTCCTTAGATATTTATTTGCTTTCCGTCAGTTTGGTGAATGCGATACTATTTAATCAGGTCTGGAATAATATGTTATTATATTATATATTATACGTGTTATATTATATATTATACAATGTGATATTAATTCACACTACTTGAGTTTTAAAAAAATTATTTTAGAACAAGAGAACAAAATATATTTCCTTCATCTAGTTTGCATCTACATAGACTTAAATATTTTCTCTCGATATCATTAAGTTCTTTAGCAGTTTGGCACAATGCATACTGTTTTTTTACAATAAATGACGTGTGAATAGATATTATATTTTCTCTTGTTCTAATTTCTTCTCTCGTCTACTCTTTGCTTTTCGCTTTTCTTTCATTTTTTTTTCTTTTTTTTTTTTACAACAATCTAGAATTAAAAGCAGCTTATGAACAAGTGTGTTGTAAATGTATGAAACGATTGTTAGTCCGATTGCTATCGCGAAGAAACTAATTTGTGCACTCGTAATTTGTTGCTCCGGAACGAATCCGTTCATCGAATATCATATCGCTAATCGATGTAATGAGCTCGCGTGTATGCGTATATGTGTGTACATTTTCTTTCGAGAGCCGTAAGACTGAAACCACGTACATAATGTATATAATAAACGTATTCATAAGTAAAGATTTTAATCGTGTCTCGATGCAATTTTTAAATATCTTATTACATTCGACGATTACCGAGATTTCTACTAATAAACAAATCGCATCTCTGTATATTTTTTTATCATGTAAGTTCTCGTTCCCTTGTTGCGTATTTCTAATTCCTAATGTGTAATATATCGCCCACGTATACTCGACTTATGTATAGTATCTATTAATGTTATGGCATCTTTTCCGCATCATTTTTATCCAACAAACGTGATATATATAATCTTTACTTTTACAGCGTATATTAATAATTATTGCGCACGATATTATCATTAATTATTATATATTTGAGATATGTTCCCTGTATAAAATGTAAGTTTTAAAAATGTTTATTATACTGTGGTTCGTACATATATACATACACATACGTTTGGGTACCATATTGTACATATCAATGAGAATTATTATTATCCTTTTTGCAATAAAAATTACAATGCAAATAATATATACGTGATATGATTTTCTTTTCCTTTCGATCGTTCGATTAATTTTATTTCTCTCGTCATCTATGTAATTTTGTATCCTTCGACAATTACTCTTTGAAGCTGTTGGAATTAAAATTAGAGATTGACATTTTTTGATGATGCACCTCGATCTGATTTTTTATGGCCAAACAGTACTCTCGATCCAGTCGAGGTAAAAACTAACTCTGGTGTACATCGCGGGAGAAGATTTAAAAGCGCAAAATTTTCCGAAACTTGTCACACCCACGACACTATACATGCAATAAGGTTGTGCGAGAACCCTTTGCAATGGACCACCGCTGTCGCCCTATATATAATGGAAATTAAGTCATTATTCAAATTTTTCTCTATATATATTATATATATTTTATATATATTGTAAATATGTAGAGTCTAAATTAAAATAAAGAATTCCGCAGATAGAAAATTTTTTGTTGTGAAAAAATAATTTGAGGAACGCAAGTAATTTTTGCGAAATGACTTGCTTGGAGACAAAAGGCTTGAAAATAATTCCAAGTGTACAATTGCACACACCTGACAAGTGTCTTTACCGCCTTCCATTATGCCGGCACAAAGTAAACCCTGTATCAAACCGTCAGGCAATCGACGTGTGCCAATATCCTCAGCGTAACTCTTTTTACAATCGTCTTCAGATATGTAATTCAGCTGCACCTTCATTAATTCGTTGCTACCGATATTAGCTTCTGCACAGTATCTTATATAATATCGTCCGATATATATTCATATAGAAAGATGTAATAAATAAAATAATGAATATATAATTATATAATAAAAATTATATAAAATAATTATATAAAAAAAAATTATATAAAATAATGAATACTATGAAATATTGAAACATGCAAGAGGGAAATAATATTGAAAAAATACTGACCGTAAGAAGTTTTCCCAAATCCAGAAGCGATAGCACTTTTGCCTGGTATCTGCGAGCTTACTTCGAGACACGCGGGTCGCACTCGAGGACTTAACTCTAGCGGTCGATCAAGTTTAAGTAACGCTATATCGTGATACTTAACCGAAGGTGTGTAATCCGGATGCTTAATTCTATCCACGATGTTCCTCTCTTGCATAACGTCGTCTGGAGTTGATAAATTAATCAAGCCGACGCGTACTTTGGTCGCAGGACCCCTGAAATAAGCAGATAATATTAATAAAATAAGGATAATATTAATAAATAAGTAAATCAAATAATCGACCAAACTAGCAAAAATCAATTTATTTATCTTCACGACGTTTATAAAATATTAATAAAATAAGGATATTATATTAATAAAATAAGGCTTTAAATCCAAAAATGATGGTAATAAAACGAATATAAAAATAATTGTAAGAGACAAAATGATTACTTGTCAGGAGATTCCAAACAGTGAGCCGCTGACAGAATAAAATGCTCAGAAATTATGCTTCCTCCACATTGCCAGGACACCTCGCTCTTGCCATACCCGATCACCGCCTGTAATAACATCAATATTTTGTCAATTAAATATTGAAATAATACGAAATGAAAGTCTAGATGTGTCACGTAGTGACGAATTTCTCAAGCACTTTCGCATTACCTAGATTGTCTAGGTTGTCATATGTAGAAAAAACGAATATTGCATTCTTAAGTATGTTACGACAAAAAAATTATTGGATAAAATATTTTGTATTATTGTTAAAAATGACAAAGTTAAGGATTTCATTTTTAATTTTTTTATTCACGAAAAAATTATGAGATATGTTCTCACACGATATTCAAATATATTTTAATTTTGATATTTTATTGTAATTTATGAGATGATTGTTTAATTTATATGTATAAAATATAAATATATAATTATATATAAATATTTTAAATAATTATAAATAAATATTTTATATAATACTGTTTTGCATAATTGTATAATATATAATGTTTACGGTATCATCGTTGATTCAATAATCAAAGATGATTTTCTTATCTATTTCTTGTCGCATTTCCAATTAATCGTGTAACTTTCTTATCGTTTTAACACTTTTCTCTACTATCTATTCTCACCATATGCGGAAATTCCGCGGGTTTTGCCTGCACTCCGCCAATGATAAGAGGCGTTTCAATAATCGCGCAGCGAGATACTTTATTCGAACCAGCGTTGATACGCAAAGTCGGTGAGTTTTCAGTTTCATAAACCAGATCGGCATATTCCTTGCATTCTGTGAAAATGCAAGGAAGAATTATCTAAAGAAGAATCGTAAGAATTATGTAAATAAGTAGTTTCATGGAAAACAGACGCAAATTACAACGACAGAATTCAATTCATAGTACAATTACAATGTAAAAAAACTATGATTAGATAGAATACGCAGAAATTCATCATTTCTACGCGCAACTTAAAATGCGTATGCATCAATTTATTATCGTGCGTCATGATTACTTGATTGCGCATCTGCCACACATTTATTTATATCGATCTAAACAAGTTACACGTACTCCTTGAGTCACACACAATCAAATCTCACATAGAAAAGACAATTTTTAGACAAACTTTTGCAATTTATGACATCGTGATTTAATAAACATTACATGTGTTAGGAAATTTTATTTAAAAGCTAATATATACTTGTAAAATGCAAATTATACAATAACTTACATGTAAATAAAATTAGAATCAAGTAAATCTTTGGACTTATTTTTATAACTAGTTAAGTAGAAAATTAAACAAACATATGTTATAATTATACCTATTAATTAATATAATAGATGCTTGTTTAATCTTCCACTTACAATTAATTGCAAGATATTTAACACTAAAAATTAAAATGTTACACGATCTTCCGTTCACAATTTCTGTCTGAGAAATCGATCCTAAATTTGAAAGAATTTGTTATTGAAATAAAAGATGTGGGGCGAATCTAGGACATACTCAAAAAATATAATTATACTCAAAATAAAATTTGAAACCAACGATCACTTTCAACTAACTTTCTTCACTTTTTCGCGCTGAAGAATTTCTGAATAAAATAACAACGAATAACGCAATTGCGAATTTCCCGTACATATTGCGAATCCGATACGCGACGTATTGACACCTTCTTAGAACAAAAGCGTTTATAGCAAGTTCTCGCTTTTAAGTTTGTCGAATAATGCGTAACGAAGTGCACACAATGATGATGACGTTCGTTAACGATTCGTAAGCTAAAGTGTCATTAACATGATATTGTCGGAACTATGGCCAATGACGTATCCGCTGGATCTTTCCCAAGGAATACCTCTTAATACATTTGCATCTATTTCCAATAAGCGTATGTCTCATTTTAATAACGGATGGCTATTTCATGGAAAAATTGTGTATTATTATATCTAAGTATCCACTGTATATTCATTCACGCTATTGAATTAATTCAAAAAGATGCGCTTATTAATAATTACTTAAACAAAGACTATCTATATATGTCTGCAAATTTTCCATGCTATTGCACATCCTTTTAGAATGCGTAAACGTAAAATGTAAATTCTGTAATACTCGGTAGTTTAATTTATTCGCAGAAATGTTTCTTTATATGATGCAGACTCTTATTCTGTTCATTAATATTTGTCTAATCACAAAATAATTATTTTGATTATTAAGTTGGTAAATAACACTGCTATATATTATTATATTTTTTTAATAATCTAATATTTTCTGATATTATAATTAATATATCTAATATTATCATATTAATAATCTAACTTGCAAATTAACATTCGGATCAACTACATCCCTGGATTTGCGCTCGTAATGATATCGGCCTTATTAAATCTAACGAGCTTATTGCAGCAATCTCGATCGCAATGAGCCGAATTGGATTTGTCTTACGGTGTATTAAGTTCACCTATTTATCGACATTATTTTTGACAACAAATATATAGAGAGAAAAAGGAGAAGAGGGATTATCATAATAAATCTATCTTGGTTTATTAAGAATTATTTTAAAACATATGTAAAATATATTCTCTCAAAACTTGAGTTCTGATACGTGCTGTAGTTTTTTTCTTATTAATGGATAATATTTATTTTAATTTTTGCTAAATATGTAAATAATTTAAATTAAATGAATATTACAAATGCTGATGGCAGTAAATTCTAGCATAAGTATAATTTCTTAGTCTATCTCTATTTTAATTTTAATTTGTAAGCTTAGCAATACCTTGCGTTATAATGAAATAACTTGAATTTATTTAAAATGTAATTCTTGAAGATACAATAATTACGGAGAAATTGGTAAATCTACTCTACAAATATAATCGTTTTTTATTTGAAGTCAATTTTTTTACCAGTTACAACTTGACTATAACAATTTGCAAATATTACACATAATATATTACCTATATGTAATGTAATCAATGATCAATAATTACTTTATAAAAGCAATTCTAATACTCCGATTACTACATTTATTGATATTATTATTAGATAGCAAATTATCTAATATATCATAATCTTATTATATGTACATTTTATATACATATATTATGATATTTATATGTGTGTTGTAGTATTTTATTTATAGTATAAATAATTTTATTTAAAGCCATAATTATAAAAATTTACATATTGCACATTATCACTTATAAAAGAATTTATCCATTTACAAAAATTGCAAAATTTACAAATAGACACTTATTAAATGTAAAGCATTCTTTCAAATCATACTTTTAGCCTGATAAAGTGCAAATTATGCAAAAGTTCTGCATCTTTTTTCAAAACTTCTGCAAAACTTTTTTCAAAAAATTAAAAAATTATGTATATGTAGCAATGATTAATGAAGATTTAATCGCACCATTTTAATGCTAATATCGATCTATTTTGTAATAACTTCGTTACATTCATAAAAAGTGAATTAAGATTAGTGGGTTCGTACATTGAAAAAATTATTAAATTAATAAATATTTATTTCAATACTGCCTAATAAATCATTCATTTGAAACAAATAAATATTTATCTGTATTTTGAAAAGGATTTTCTTATATCAAATAAATTTTTCACATCGAATCAATATTATTAGTTTCAATTTATTAGGCAGTATTGAAATAAATATTTATTCGAATTCAATAAATTTTTTTTTTTTTCAGTGTAACAATAATTCACATAAGAATATTTTTCAAAAGTGAAATCACTGGAGAATCACATCGAATTTTATTCCTGTTACAGGACCGTATACAGCACGCTAATTAGTATTAATTGTCCCAATTCATTTATCGTTTCGCATTTTGCTGAAAGGATGAAATTTCTTCCTGAAAAATGCGCGCATAATCGCGTCATCTCATTCTCGGCTATAACCGGCTTATCGTATAAAGATGCAAGACAAAAATGACCTCGCCATCGCGAGACCATGGAAGAATATATAGTGGGGATCATGAGGAAAATCAGAAACCAGTGGATCGACGAGTTAGACGAGGTATATCTTCCGTCGTAGCGAGTGCGAGAGACCAAGCGAGGAGAGCTTGTGATGTCAAGAATGTTACAGAGCGTGTCGGCCAATTCACCGTTATTATTACTAGTGTTGGTGTCGATCCTATTGCCGACAAATGGAGCCGACGTGGGAGGTGAGTAATAGTTATATATTTTCGCGAGATAAAAACAAATTCTCGTTTTGAACAAATATGTCGAGCGCATTCTTTTACGAAAGAATGAGAAGGTCGTCCGGAACGACCTATTCTGGAAAATTCCACTGTCAGCGTGATAATTTTTTAATCGTATAAAATGATTATACAATCATATACACTCACAACAATAACTGTAATCATAAATTACTGATTTGTTTGGTTACTATAAATTCGTATTATAAATAATATTCTTGTTATTCAACTGAAAGAAGTTAAAATTACTTAACAATAATATTTCAAATATCAATTGTTATTAAATATAATTGTTATTTTTATATTTATTCCTTATAATATATCCTGTCATGCAATTTAATCAATAATAAACGATAATAATTTTACAATAATTGCGTAGGAATATTTCTATCCTCGAAAAGAAGTTCTATGTAAATATTGTATATAGCAGCCTTGTCAACAATGTACATAATTGTAAGGTCAATTATCTATCTCTTTGTCAATTTATCTTATCTTCAATTGAAACAATTAATATTCTTTCAATCGCGTGCTTCGTATACTTTGTTCCTATACTTCGTATATTTCTTCAGAATGCGTAAAAAATAGCTAAATGTGTTTAAAATAAATGTAAATGAGCTTCTATTATGTATTTATATAATAATTGAAGAAATGGACAAACTTAATATATTTTTTATATTTAAATAAATATAATTTTATCGATATATTATACTTCTTATTCAGCGATCTCTTCAACTGCCTGTGATAATCAGTAGATTAATTATTATTTTGAACTCAGAAAGAGTAAAGGGCAATATAACATTTATATAATTTTCTTCACAACTTTTCTAAATTCTAGATAATCCTAAATGCATGATGATAAAATCGCGTACATAGTTTTATCAGACTATTATACAAACGCGATTTAAATAAAATAAGATGATTTAAGAAGTGGAGTATTGAAATATAAAATCTCATATTTTTATTTCAATTTATATCTTTCTTTTCAGTATTTTTAAATATACACGCGACAATAATAATCGTATTAAAGTTTTTTAATTTTATTATCGCGGCTTTCCTCTCATATGTGTGTATGTAATAATTTACAGAAAGTTGCACAACCGATTCGTCGAGCCAAGGTATATGCAGGCTTTTAAGAGATTGCCCAGTAATTTATCAGCAATTGTTAGCCGGCAATATGCCGGACAGCATTTGCGGTTTCTCAGGTTTCGATCCGATAGTCTGCTGTCCGGCAAATCGTATCACTAGCAGATTACCGCAACAGACCACACCGACGTCGCAAACTACCACTCGGACAGAGATAGTGCGACCTTTGAAGCTGGATGACAGCAGAGGAGCTTTAGCGCGAGCAAGTAAGCTTCCCGATATTGATCTTCCAAACTTAATCTAAGATTGCAAACACTTAACGTATACTTATCAGCATCCTTTGAATCTAGCATTGCGCATATATTTCGTTCCATGGTTGTGCTTTCGCCGCAAAATCCAATGGCAATGTTATCCCTAAATGATATTAAAAAATGTTAAAAGTTTTTCTCTTTATAACTTAAAAAAATTATACTAACTGCATAAAACAAGCGACTTAAATATGCATTTCTACATTTTAAATACCTAAGTCAAAAATGGAATTTAAATGTCTAGAAGACGAGATAAGAAGCTGTGACTTGTCAAACGAAGGATAAAAGCAAAACTTGAAGTTTTACATGTAGCTTCAAGCTCTCAATATCCATTCATCTGTTCTCCAGAATGCGCGGAAGCTGCGGAAGCTGTCTATGGTTTCGAAATACCACCCACACCGACCTTTGATCGAACGCCCGTAAATGTGTCGCGTTGCACCCTGAAAACACAAAGCTGATTGTCGGTGGTGTAAAAGCCGACCCGAAGGAATTCCCGCATATGGCAGCTGTTGGTTTCGAGAACGGTCAAGATATCTTATGGAATTGCGGAGGCAGCTTGATTTCTGCCAAAATCGTCCTAACAGCGGCGCACTGTACTTGGAATAGAGACTGGTAGGTTTCACCTTCACTTGCATGTCTAACTAATCTTCAGAAAATTGACGAAAAAAATGATCAAAGCTGCGCTTTCAATTCAAAACTAAATTTAGATTAAAACTTATTTCGATAAAATAAAACATTGGTATTTCTTTAGTTAATTTTCTTTGAATCGAAATAATCAATTTCGCCATTGCTTTTTTTAATGTGAGCAATTTAAGAAAATTGATAAAAATCTTTTATTTAATATTAACTGTAAAAGCGTGCACTTTAATTTCTATTTACTTCAAAGGGGAGCCGCAAAATGGGTGCGAGTTGGTGATCTGAATCTTGTACAAACGACTGACGATGCGAGGCCGCAGGAATTAAAATTGCAAAAAGGATAAAGCATCCTCAATACGGAGGCCTATCGGAATACCATGACATAGCTATACTACGATTGGAAAAGAAGTTATCTACAATGCATGGGTGAGACCAGCGTGTCTTCCGATTGATCTGCCTGATGTAGGTACGGATAAAAAAGCCGTGGCCACTGGATGGGGTTTAGTCGATTGGTGTAAGATCTTTAATAAAAATTCACATTTAATTAAATTAAATTGAAATTTAAAAAATAACATATGATAATATAAATAATATTATTATATGTAGATGTATGTATAAATTAATATATTACTAGGTAATAATATATTATTTTATTCCACAGCTGAAGACGCAGGCTCAGACAATTTGTTGAAAGTAACGCTCAGTCTGGTCAACCATGCATCTTGTAATGCAAGTTTTTCCGATGGCGGCTCCAATGTACAGTTTGCAACAGGCATAAGAGACGATTGGCAAATATGTGCGGGCGAACCGGGAAAAGATACTTGTCAAGTAATAATTTTTTCTTCGTACTGAAAGAAACCTTTCCTTCTTCCTAACAGGAATTTCTTTTTAACTAAGGAAACTATTCCCTTCGTTAGTTCCATTAGTTATTCTCTATAATAATTAATTAAATTCAACTGCGTGAGATTTAACTAACTTCTTTTTAATTGTATTTATAAATATAGTCAAAGAATTGGTCAAAGTTTAGATTACATAATATTGCTCATTTTATCCTGTAAAAGCATCATATTATTTTCGTGATAAGTAAGTTAAGCGAAAATAAAAATTAATCGAATGCATTTTTTTTTGTTTGCAATTATTAAGGGTGACAGCGGAGGACCACTTGCTATCTTTAACAAAAATCATGATTGCGTGTACAATGTGATTGGAATTACTAGTGTTGGACGATTCTGTGGCAGCAACATACCCGCGTGTACACTCGAGTCTATCATTACATCCCCTGGATAGAGAGAAACGCGTGGCCAGAATACTATCAAAACAATTAATTTCAATTTACTCCGTTTCTCTATATTAAATGTATTATTTTTTTAAGTATTAAATATATATATATATATATATATATATTCCTTTTTTATACGATTTGCAGTTTGTAGTTTTTTCTTTCTGTGGCATGTTCTCACTTTTAGCCTGTGATCTTAAATATATACTTGTGAAAAGAAAAAAGAAAAATATTTTTAAGTCATTTCAATTTTCTCCTCTTGTTGCTCATTTCGATCTCTTCATTAAAATCATTTTCCAATATATCTTCCGCGATAGCAGATATATTTATTCACTTGAAGAGAATCAGTAATATATATAATTCAATTTTTCTTTTTTTTATTAAACCAAACGTAATGTTAATAAGGAGCAGCGGATGCGCAACAAGGAGCAATTTATGCGAATGCATATGAACTCCCGGAGACGGATGCGCGCGAGTCAGGGCGAATTCCTGAGGATGCTCGGCATCGATCCCTGGACGCGCAAGCGCCGACCGACGAGTTCTCACATCCACTTCCATCATTCCCGATTATCGGCGAGAGTCCGTTCGTCGTATTCGACGAACGTAGTTAGAACACGGCCGTCTATTTTCGTTTCCTTCCAAGAGTTGACCGTCTTTCGCGATATACCGCAGTCAAGGTAAGAAAGTCGGTCGCGAAGCTATCGCATCTCGCGACTTCTGTCATCGAACGAAAATATATAAAGTTCACCTGTATATCGAAAAAGCTCGTGGAAAAAAGGAGGACAAAAAGTGCCCCGAAATTAACAAAAAAAATTATTTTTTTAATAGTGACACGTAATATAATTTTAATTAAACTTTAATTAAGTGTAAGATCGTTGCAATGTGCTGAAGACGCGAGGTATGCATTACGCTCTTTTGATGATATTTTAGAAAGAAAAATTTAAAATTTCATGTTATGTTAATATATAATATATAATATAAACATAAAAGATGTAAAACAACAAAAAACTCCAATAAAAATTAATAAACTGATAGGCAGACTCGAGAAACAAATATAGCAAATATACGTGCAATATCAAAAATGAAACAATTTATTAAGAAACTTGAAAATCTTAATGAATTAAAGTTTATAAAATAATACTTAAGACTAAAAACATATATCGCAATCATATAAAAATAATAATGCAAAATGACACAAACGTTTCTGCTTTAAACTGAACAGAATCTATTTTTAATTAACTTATAAAACCATAAAAAAGTGAAATATATAAAATCAACATATAAAAAGATCAAGATATAAAATTTGTCAAAAGTATTAATGTTATATAGTTTTGTATTAGTTATCATATTTTTTTTATTTTTATGTAATTCATATATAATATATATTTTTTTCCAATATATTATTTTTGTGAACTTTATCAATTCATTAATAATTTTCAAATTCTGAGTGAATTGTTTATTTTTTTTATATTGCACTCATGTCTGCTATTTGTGCTCGCCTGTTATTTTATTTATAAAAATCTAATTATATATGTATAGCAAAATAAATAATTATTTATTTATCTGACTTTTTTCTGTGCTACTCTTTTATAATAATATGATAATATTTCGATAGGTAGACGAACACAGAGGAACTTCTAATGTCGGCTTTGCTAGATGTATGCGGAAATGATACCGGTTCACCATCGATATCGAAAGCTGACGATAATTTATCCAACAGTGATGGGCCTCTGATTAAAGGCCTTATTCGCCAAAATAGTTGCGGCAGTGTACATGCAAGGTGAATAAAATAAGCTATATGCGTCAAAATTTAAATTATGTCTTCATCAATTTGGAATAATAATTCTATAATAATTATTGTCTCACTATTAATATATGACTCTTGTTTTCCTCATTTTATTTTATAAGAAGCGTCGGTATTTAAAAAGGAAATGAGCAAGGAACTAATAATCGTAATTAATTCAAAATTGATTAGTTAATTGAAATTATTGTCGCAATCCCTAGACTAAGACTAATTTCACAAATAATTAACCTTCAGTCTATTAATTAACAGGGCAATCAGCTCTTCGTACGGTATGTCATCGCCGAGCGAAAAAGCTACGAAGAGGCGTTATTGCCTTTGGACGTTGACTCTAGTTTTGGCGATAATCGGTCTCTGCAATCTTTTCCTGAATATCACTGTTATTGCTGTTTTGCGCATTAGTCAGGGAATGGAGGCCATGGAAGTAATTCCAGATGAGAATCTTGTCAAATTTTATGGAAGAACCGACTTGGACAAGGTATGAGTATGCAGTCTTTATATATTGCTGAATATATTATTATATTCTTGAATATTAATATTATGAATTAATTTTATCTCTCCAAAGATATCCCTGCAATCCGGTGTCTGCCAGAGTTACGGCGACGAGCCGATGGAGGTATCCGGGACGAGGCTGGGGTGCACGTCGACGTAAAGGGCCACATTTATCCAGAGACACATCCGCGTTCAAAGCTAAGCGTCTTGACGAACGGCACCACCATGTCGCAGGTGGAGTCGTTCGAGGTGAAGGATCCGCGCACCGGCGTGACCTATTTCACCACCGACTTCCCGAACTTCGGCCTGCCGAGCGGCGTCGAGACGGTCGATGTGCGGCTCGCGGAGACCTATCGGATCACCTCGCCGGTCAACGAGAGCCTCGCAATAAAATCCGACAATCAGATCTCGATGCACGGCATAGAGGGCGTGCGTATGGAGAGCAAGGACATCGTCTGGAGCGCCGACCTGGAGGTCCTCCTGAAGAGCGTAAACGGTAGCGTCGTGCTGGACGCCAAGGATGGTGTTTCCATTGACGTGGAGAGCATCCCGGTGGCGCCCATGTTCTTGCAGAGTCCAGCCGGGACTCACGAGCAGTACAAAGTCTGCGTTTGCATGCCGCAGGGCAAGCTCTTCAAGATGCCAGTCCGGCCGGGCGCGAGTTCTCGCACCGTCAATTGCGCGCGAGTCGCCAGGACTCCCGAAAACGATCCGTGTCTACATTGAATTCGAAGTAAAGACTGATATTTTCTACAACACGCTTAAATGAAGCGCATATCACTGCCAGATAGGCAAATGCGGCGAAATTCGAAGCCTGAATTTGTGTAACATCGATAGGCAGTACGTTAAGCAAGATATAGTAGACGATAGGGCCTCGGCACATTTATACAATATCGTTGACACATAATCATTAATTCGCATATCTTTAAGAAAAATACTGACACAAAGATTATGTAAGCCGAATCTTTAGAGATCAATCTCTCTATACGCTTAAGCGTGAGTGAGAATATAAAAGCTTAAGGTGCTATCATGTAAAAACAAAACTCTTAGAAGTAGTGTTATATAATCGAATTTTTTTTGTAGAATCATACTATTCTATTCTATATTTTATGTATACACGAAAAATCACACATTTTTTGTGGACACATTCAATACCTCGAATCGTTCCCGCATAAATATGAACATCGTGAATAAATGATGTCACCTTAAGATCATCGACGGAACTCATCGAAATGTATTTGCGAATGTTAAATACAGTATTTTATAAGAAACGACAATAAGAAAGTAAAAGCATCATTTCGTTTCAAATCAAAACGAGGAAACCTCGGTGCATATCATAAAATTCTATACGCTTTCCGTGATCATCTCCTCATTGCTTTCGTCCATGTCCTCCTGCTGTTCTTGTTCCGTGGGTGGCTCGTATGCTTTGTCCAACGGACTTGCCACTACACCACCCGCCCATACGCTCATCTCCACGGCGAGTTTGTTAGAACCTTCCAACAATGGTCTATAACCGCCGTGAGCTAATACGCGCAATAATGTCTGGGCAGTGAGACATACGAGATCCTGTTGTTCAAGAGTCATCGCGGTATGCACGCGTATATTTCCACCCTCACACGGATCAGAAATACCTGAGAAAAGTTATTAAACTCCTTGCAACACGCTGCGATTGAGGCAATATTTGCTGCTACGTCAATTATTCGGAACTTGATACAAATAATTCCCGTAATTCTATCTAACACACAGAAGACTCGTCTTGAAGCAGCATTATAAAAATATCCTTACTCATGACGTCATAATTCATAATCTAATCAAAGATTTTTAATTCCAAGGAAAACAAGTAAATTTATAGCATAATTGCGGCGCAACATGTAATTTTTTATAAAAAAATTAATAAAATTTCATATAACGATAAATAAATGCAATTTTTAAAGAATATTTTCGGAAAGACTTTACTCAATTCATTTTTCTATATTTATATATAGAAATTCTTTTAAATTTGAAGTAGAGACAAATAAATTAAAATACCTGCAGATCCAGGAAGGAATAATCCAGAAGCAAGCAACTGCAATACTCTTTTGTACGCCTGATTAATCGGTAAAGCTTGTCTACTGGGATTATTCATTATTGCATTGTGCGCCAACAATTCCAACATCCATGGAGATAGTGGCTCCAAACCTTCGAATCTGTTTCTGAGATCACGAAGTAAGCGTATTAAAACTTTAATACTAGAATGATGAGCATTTTCCTCAAACCAACGAGAATGTCTAATAGCAGCGAGATGCCCTATAATAAAAAATGTATTTTCTAGTAACAGTTACTAAGATTTTTTATTTCATATTACTACCTAAAAAAATAATAATAAATAAAATAAATACAAGACAATTACCTTGACAATTTTGACGTCTAATGTTGATCAGATTCTAGTTTGCGTAGATTTTGATGCAGTGTGGTTATCAATACACACGAACAGTAGCTTCGTTATTAGCTATATCAAATCCCCGTTCAGTCTGTATACTCTGAATATTTCTTTCGGATTTACAGATTTCAGATCATTATTGACTTTGTTCCCGAGAGCTTCCACTGCCGTTTTCGTCGGTAAGTTTTCAGAATTACAACAATGTCAGCGACATTGTGACCCTTTATCATTGTACCTTTCTTGAAACTACCAACTTGTCTGACTTCCTCTAATTGCTATATTGAAGACACATGTAAATGAGATGCATAATATATTACACAAGATAGAAATATTAAGTGCAAATATGTGAGCAGTTTAATTTTTGATTAATTAAACATG